CACCCTCCCCTTCACTGCTGAAATTTTTCCCCACTCGATCCACCTTTGGAAATCTGAAGCTGCCTTGTGTGGGAAGGGGTTGGTTTGAATTCCGATTTTATGGGGTTCTTCGAAAGAAAAAGAATACAAAACATGAATTAAAAATTGGGTACAAAAGTGAGTTTTATTTAGAATGATAAAAATAATAAATCATTTTTTAAAGCTGACAAACATGAGCAATGTAAAAGAAAAAATAATTTTATTTCCTTTTTTTCTGGCCATTCTAATAGGTGTGTAGTGGTATCTCATTGTGGTTTTATTTTTTTTATTTAAATTCTTTATTGTTGAAAGTATTACACATGTCTCCTTTTCCCCCCATTGACCTCTCCCTGCCGGCTTCTCCCTCCCCAGTCACTCATGTTATATGCTACCCACGGGGCTGCTTCTCATTCTCCTCCCTCAGCTCTGTGCTCCTCTGGCTGCCAGGCAGCGGGGCCTACACGCCTGAGCCCAGGCCAGGCCCTGCGCCCCTGAGTCAGCTCTCTCGTGGCGTGTGCCTGCTCACGGCCATGCCTGCAAAGGTCCCACCTGCCACACAGGTTCACGCGCAGCTCACAGGAAGGCCTGGAGGAGCCGGGCTCCGTGCTCAGCACTCGGAAGCTTGCGGGTCAAGCGTCCACAGCCCCTGACCTCGCAGACTGCAAAGGTACCTGCCACACAGGTTCACGCGCAGCTCACAGGAAGGCCTGGAGGAGCCGGGCTCCGTGCTCAGCACTCGGAAGCTTGCGGGTCAAGCGTCCACAGCCCCTGACCTCGCAGAAGGCCAGGCCGGCGAGCCCCCCTGTAGGACAGAGGTCGGAAGTCCCCCCTTTTATAGGCACCCACACCCCTGGATGTTATGAGGTTGTATGTAGCATGAACACTTTGTAATATTGATCGATTAAATGTAAGACAACTCAAAAAAAACACCAAAAACCCTCCTACTGTCTGTGGCCATTGGTTATGCTCATATGCATGCACACAAGTCCTTTGGTTGATCTCTTAACCCTCCTCCCCTGCCACCCCTCTGAGGTTTGAGGGTCTGTTCATGCTTCTATGTCTCGGGATCTATTTTTGTTTATCAGTTTATTTTGTTCATTATCTTCCACAAATGAGTGAGATCATGTGATATTTATCTTTCTCCAACTGGCTTATTTCACTTAGCATAATGCTCTCCAGGTCCATCCATATGGTTGCAAATGGTAAGAATTCCTTCTTTTTTACAGCAGCGTAGTATTCCATTGTGTAGATGTACCACTGTTTTTTAGTCCACTTAGGCTGTTTTAGCTATGGTGAATTGTGCTGCTATGAACATAGGGGTGCCTATATCCTTTTTGATTGATGTTTCTGATTTCTCATTGTGGTTTTAAATTTGTGTTTTCTTTCTTTTTAAAAAAAAATAGATTTTAATTGATTTCAGAGAGGAAGGGAGAGGGAGAGAGAAATAGAAACATCAATGATGAGAATCATTGATTGGCTGCTTCCTGCATGCCCCCTACTGGGGATTGAGCCCGAAACCTGTGCGTGTGCCCTTGACCAGAATCAAACCTGGGACCCTTCAGTCTGCAGGCCGACGCTCTATCACTGAGCTATACTGGCCAGGGCTAATTTGTGTTTTCTTAATGACTAATGGTACTTAGTATCTTTTCATGTGCTTATTGGCCACTTGAATATCTCCTTTGGTGAAGTGTCTGTTCAAATCCTTTGGCCTTTTAAAAACTGGGTGGTTTGTTTTCTTACTGTGTTTTGAGAGTTCTTTATATATTCTGGATAATTCCTTTAGCAGATATGTGATTTGAAAACATTTTTTTTTCAGACTGTGGCTTGTATTTTCATCCTTTTAACTGTGTTTTTCGGAGCAGAAATTCTTTTTATTTTTTATTTTTAGCAAAAACAGAATTTTATTAGAGAAGGTAAAGCAACAAAGCTCTCTGTAGCAGAGAGGGGTCCCAAGCGGGTTGCCCAGGAATTCTTTTTTTTTTTAAAATATATTTTATTGATTTTTTTACAGAGAGGAAAGGAGAGGGATAGAGAGTTAGAAACATCGATTAGAGAGAAACACCGATCAGCTGCCTCCTGCACACGCCCCACTGGGAATGTGCCCGCAACCAAGGTACCTGCCCTTGATCGGAATCGAACCTGGGACCTTTGCATCAACCTTCCTAATGCCGCGACCCTTTAATATAGTTCATGTTGTGGTGACCCCAACCATAAAATTATTTTCGTTGCTACTTAATACCTGTAATTTTGCTACTGTTATGAATCGTAATGTAAATATCTGATATGCAGGATGTATTTTCATTGTTACAAATTGAACATAATTAAAGCATAGTGATTAATCACAAAAACAGTATGTAATTATATATGTGTTTTCTGATGGTCTTAGGCGACCCCTGTGAAAGGGTCGTTTGACCCCAAAGGGGTTGCGACCCACCGGTTGAGAACCGCTGCCATAAGGGCTGTCCAGGCACCTGTCCTCACTGCTGGAATGGTGAGCAGTTTCCTTTTCAGAAACCTCCTAGCCTTGCACTCTATTCTGGCTGTACTCCCCACCTGTGCGAGCAAGTTATTATGAAGCATAGTAACCTCCATCTGGTATAAAAAAAAAACAAACATCTGCTGTTTAAAACTCTCTGCTATTGTTAGATAGTCCCTAGTCCTGTAAACTCTGTCATTATAAATAAACTTTCACTTTAAGACAGTCTGTTATTCTGTAAAATGACTTTGTTTTTTAGTTCAAATAATAGAAAAAGATAAACTTAACTGTCTGACCTTGCAAGCTAGCCGTCTAATGTAATAGACTAAAATAGACTAATACTGATAATAATTCCAACTACTAACTCATTATGTATTCAAGGTTACAAACTAACTGTAACAATAACCTACACGGAGGTCTTAGTGAAACCTGCAAACAAAGACGCTCAAAAGGTTTAAATACAAGCCACTTCCTCTATGTCGGGGCTCAGAGATTTGGAAGAGACACCTCCGTCTGGGCCGCGCGCAATGAACGACTCCTAATTAATTGGCTTATGAAGGCGTCTTGTATCTCATTCGATGATTTATGACACAACAATTACTTTTTGAATGCTTGGCTTCCTTTCTTTTGGAAAACGGTTCCTCCGCAAGTCCACGTGGTTCTGCTGGTTGTCAGTAAGAGCATCCACCTTCCCATCCTCCTCTGGTTCCTGCTTAGTTCTAGGCCTGGGTGTTCCGCTTCCTCTTTGAGCCTGTGTTTATTCAGCATCGCCCCAATACACTCCTTTTTTCCTAACTTAGTTTGGGTTTGTGTTGGCAACCAAAGAATTCTCACTGATTACACAGCCTTGTAAGATAGTTGGCCAGGAAGGCGCCTTTGTGCCTTTCACCTTGTGGCCAAAAGACAGCCCCTTGGAATAGATGTGGGGTAAATGGCTTGCGGGGAGCAGCACCTTTATGAAATAGAGAACCAAGGGCCTCTTCCAGTGGAGCCCTCCTATAGGGGCCATGGCTTGTCAAGCAAAATGCAGCCTGGAGCTCAGCTCTCACTGCCCCCGTCGGCCGTGTGCTCTTGTGCAGAGCACAGGTAACACAGCCTTACGTAGAGACCCTGTTGTCGGGCCCCCCACCCTTCCCCTCAGCTCTCTTCTCCTCTTTCCACCTTCCGTTTACCTCCGCTAGGCTTTTACTTGGGCAACATCAAAGCTGATAACAGCTATGTTTACCTTTGTAGCAATAGTTAAGCCTTCCGTGCTTTGTCCATCTGTTGATTCTAAAAGTTGAAACTCAATTAACAGTGTTTAGCTTATGTATTGTGACTTATAAATATCTTTCAATGCAGAGCTAGTAATCACTGAGATTACATTTCCTTTCTTGAACTGTTTTAATTACCTTTTGAGAAACAATATTTGATAGATTCACAGGATTATATGAAATATATGTTAGTTATAAATGATTCTACGATAATGAATACCATGTACCTTTCACCCAAATCAGGCACCAGGAACCTAGTGCCAGTAATGTGCATGTGCCAATGTAATCCTCCCTGTCCCATTCCCCTGCTCCCCCTGAGAGAGAGGCAATATTATTTTTTGTGTTTATCACTCCACTGCTTTTACAAAAAGCCATGCACTCATAATAGCATGTATGCATAAACAATGTTCTGTTTAGTTGTGTTTGTTTATGAGCTCTATAAAAATGTTTACAATGTAGTCTTCTGGGAGTTCTGTTTTTCAGGAAACATTGTATTTCCAAGATTCTTCCATGTTGTTTTGCATTGCTATTGGAACTGTTTATTATGATTAGAAACTCTTAGGAACTCCAGGAAAAACTGAAACAGAGCCAAAGAAGGAAACACGATCCTGATGGTCACCAGCTCTATATGAATGTCAGTCCCAGTAGGCCCAGCACCCCCTTCGTCCATCACTGCCCCCTCCTAGTGTAGAAGAGAGTTATCCCAACCCATGGCCAAGGAAGCTAGGGAATTTGTTCACCAACTCCCTATCTGTCAGTAGTTCATGGGTCAGCCTCCACATCCGGGTGCCCCTGACCATGGCTGATTGTTCTAGGGATGGCACTTGTCCCTGGGAGGGCCAAAGAATGTTTGGACTTAAGAATGAGAGGTCTCGCCCTAGCCGGCTTGGCTCAGTGGATAGAGCATCAGCCTGTGGACTGAAGGGTCCCAGGTTCAATTCCGGCCAAGGGCACATGCCTGGGTTGCGGGCTCCATCCCCAGCGTGGGGTGTGCAGGAGGCAGCCAATCAATGATTCTCTCTCATCATTGATGTTTCTATCTCTCTTTCCCTCTCCCTTCCTCTCTGAAATCAATAAAGAAATATATTTAAAAAAAAAAAAAAAGACTGAGAGGTCTCCTCTCTGACAACCAAAGGTTAATAGCTTAGGTGAGCCTGCACGGCCATGGCATACTCAGCCCCACGTTGGGCGCCTTATGTGCTGAGCCAGCTCAGCCAGGTTCGGTGAGCCTGGGGGCGGTGAAGGATGGAGAAAAGACAGACAAGAGAAGAAAGCTGGGTCTGGGTGGAACGCTGTCCCCTCTGATGGAGAGCTAGCGACAGCGCCACAGACTACAGCCGTGTCTTTATTTTATAGCCAGTTTCCAGGAGGCAAAGTAAGGACGTGGTCAAGATGTTTACAACATTCTCGTGGGTTTTGATCCTACTCATTTACATGCACCTGAACTCTATCAAGCCCACATCACTCAGACACATGGGGCCACGTGTTCGGACCATAGGTTCAAGCTTACAACTACAGCTGTTGGCTATCATTGTGCTGGGAGGGCTTTGCCCTCCAAGCTGGGACTTGCACGTGGCCATGAGAGGACTGTACCCTCTCATTAGTCCGAGGCTTGAACTTGTCCAAACACTGTGGCCGCTCTCCACAGGTGTCAGGGCCACGTTTCTCACTACGTGGACCAGAGGAGAGGAGGAGGTTGGTCTGCAGAGGAAGAGCAAGATATTCTGGGAGAAGGAAGACCAGAGTTGGAGTGCTATGGTCTGAATGTCTGTGCACCCCCAAATCCATATGTTGGAAAACTACCCCAAGATTTATAGTATTAGGATGTGAGCCTTTGAGAGGTGATTAGGTCATAAGGGTAGAGCCCTTATGAATGGGATTAGTGCCCTTACACTAGTAAAAGAGACCCCACAGAGCTCCCTATCCCCACATAAAGACACAGCGAGAAGTCTGCGACTTGGAAGTTGGACCTCACCCAACCATGAAGACCATGACAGCACTGCGATCTTGGACTGCCAGTATGTGATTTCCTGATTCCAACCGTCCCCAAGGTGCAGCTATGCACATGACCTCAGGATTCATGATTAACTCACCTTTTACTTCATTTAGGTTCTGTTCCATCATTTACAGCCACTGATACGCAAGGAAGTCTGCCAAAAACCTCTGCGTTTTTTTTTCTTCTCTGTGTTTTTGTTTCCTTCTCTAGTGAAAGAGCACAAACATAATTAAAATGATAATTTAACAATAATTACCACTTTCTGGGAATTTACTATGAACCGAGTGCTTTTTTGTTCCTTCTCTCATTCAACACTCAAACCAACACTGAGGCAAGTATTATTGTCCCTGTGTTACAGATGAGTAACACCACTTTCTGGGAATTTACTATGAACCAACGAGTGCTTTTTTGTTCCTTCTCTCATTCAACACTCAAACCAACACTGAGGCAAGTATTATTGTCCCTGTGTTACAGATGAGTAAACGGAGGCATAAAGAAGCTCTGACTCATGTAGGTTCACGAGGCTGTTAGAGGAAAGCCCAGCGTTCACACCCTACAGCCTGTGTGCTTCACCACCTGTGTCACTGTCTCCACAAAGCAAACCAACTCTGGCGGGATTCAAATTCACACCCAAATTTGAAAGGCTTTCTCCTCATGAGAATCCCAGGAGCTAAGTGAGGTCCGGAGCCACTATAACCAACCGGGCTGCCACGGGTGACTCAGATTTCTTTTCCTATAACTCAAAAGAGAGATTAGAAAAATCTTCTCAGATTTTTTTATGACACCCACATACCCCGTCCTTATCCTACCCTCCCCCTTCTGAGGCTGCAAAAAAAAAAAAAAAAAAAAAAGGTAAAAAAAAAGAAGAGGGAAGGGAATGGCAACTGTTGACTGGAAGTGAGGAGCGGTGGGAGAGAGGGGTAGGGGTAAGTAGTGAGGTTGATTACACCTCTGGAAGACATTTCCAAATGTTTTCCTGGGGACAAACGTCTTCTCCCTCCTCCTGCTCCATCAGTGAGCATCTGAGGTTGGTGTCAGGGCAGGCGAAATGGGAAGGGAAAGGAGACCCTCAGAGACCATTGCTCTTAGGTGAAGGGAGGCCTCAGAGCCACAGCTCTGAGCTGAGACCTGAGGAGCAGTGTTTGGAGAAGGAGTTGGGGGTGAAGCCGTGGGCCCCTCCCCCATTTAACTGACGCCCAGGAATATTCCATGGCAGTTAGGGGCCCTGTCCTGCCAGATGGGTTGTTCTTTCCCAGATGCCAGGCCCTATGGTGGCACCTGCTCCGCTTGGTGAAATTATTTAGAACGTGACGGACAACTGAGCGTAGGAAGGGGAGGGGCGACATGGGGTGGAGGATAGAAGGGGAGGCTCAAGATTGGGACAGGGGACATTAGGGGTGAGGAGAAAGTGATAAACTTCAGAAACATGGAAAGGAAGGGGGTGCTTAAAAAGGAAGATGGGGTAGAGGTGAACCCGGGACAAGAAGAGGGGGTGCAGGACTTCGCCGTCTCCCACAGCAGAAACAGGGTGCTGTACCGCCACCGGGACTCGCTGTTGCCCCTGAAATGGAAAGTCGCACACACCTCCCGCTGGAAGGCGCAGGTGCTCGCCTCAGTGCTCAGCCTCATCGCCTTGTCCCTGTTGCTGATCATGGCCTTCTCCAAAGCGTGGCTGTACCCCTCCACCATCCGCTTCTTCAAGCGCTGGCCTGCGGATGTCACAGAGCACATCTACACATCTACCCACATCATGGCCCGGGGGCTCCTGCAGATCTGCATATTCCAGACCTGCTTCTCCTCAAGGGATGAGGAAGGTGAGACCCCCCAACCCCCCAATCCCATTCCAGGCCTCCAGTCTGCCTTGGCCTCTCCATTTACACCCCGGTATTCTTTTTATTTTTTCCTTTTTATTTTTAAAATATATTTTATTGATTTTTTACAGAGAGGAAGGGAGAGGGATAGAGAGTTAGAAACATCGATGAGAGAGAAACATGGATCAGCTGCCTCCTGCACACCTCCTACTGGGGATGTGCCCGCAACAAAGGTACATGCCCTTGACCGGAATCGAACCTGGGACCTTTCAGTCCGCAGGCCGACGCTCTATCCACTGAGCCAAACCGGTTAGGGCCACCCCGGTATTCTTGTCCCCTCCTTCTGACCATCCTCACTGTGTTGGCCCACAAGATGACTCCACTGGCCCCGAGATTGCCAAGGATCGTTTTCCTCCCCAGCCTGGCCAGACTGACTCGCCTGGCCCTTCAGTGGAAAGTGTTCATGCTTTCGATAAGGCTTGCAGTCAAGTCCGTACTTAGAAAGATGTTGTGAGGGGCCTGGACTCGCAGGGCATGTGAATCACCCATCAATCACATCCTTCACCACGATCCTGGGAGAGGAGCCCATCAGGGTGAGATTTCCTTTCTCTAGGCTTGGGTACCCAGAGTTTTGGGAGGAGTCCCCAGAACGCTCTCCCTCCCGCCCTGGTCCCAGCAGCTGTTCTTGCCTTTGGCTCAGGCTTTGCTTTTCTGGGCCAGTTCCGGGTTTCCACATCTGGTTTCCCTGCCCTCTCCGTCCTGGCTTCTTGCAGGTGCCTCATTCCCCGTTCTTGTTAATCTCACAGCATGCTGTCCTCTCCCCTGCAGATTTGGGCCTCCTCTCTCAGATCTCGTGGAAAACCAGAACCTTTGACCTCCCCATTTCCTTTTCTTCATTGTCATTAACATTTTCAAAAAAAGTTACGTAGCCCGGCTGGTGTGGTGGCTCCATGGTTGAGCGTCAACCCATGATTCGATTCCCAGTTAGGGCACATGCCCGGGTTTCTGGCTTGATCCCCAGGGTGGGGTGTGCTAGAGGCAGCCAATCAATCATTCTCTCTCTCACCATTGCTGTTTCTGTCTCTCTCTCCCTCTCCACATATATATTTTAAAGTCACATTGCTATTATTTTCTTCCATTATGAAAGTAATACACCCTCATTACGATACATTTGGGGAAACAAAAGCTATTATTGATTATACACTTATTTTATTTAGTTAATTGAATCCTCAACCCTGATGGGGCAATTATTCTTATTTTATAGATGAAAAAATTGAGACTCAAATTAAGAACCTTGCTCAGGGTCATAAAGCTATTAGGTTTAACCACATGAAATGGACAATATTTGACTGCTTTTCACCTACAAAAAAGAGCAAATTCATATGGATAAACCTAATAATGGCAAGTTTACAATTATAACTCAGGTGTGTCTGGCTCCAAAACTAATGTAAGCACCCAACTTGCTCTCTAGTGCTGCTCAAAGGCAGCCACTAGTAGCAGTGTGTTGAGACTCAATTTTTTCTAGGCTTAAAAAAAAAAATTGAACACATTTTACATGACTCGTACCTAGATGTATTTATTCTTCTAAATAATTTTATATCTTTTATTTTTTTTATTTAATTTATATTATTTTAAATTTTATCTTTATGCAATATAATAAACATTTTCTTATTATAAGTAACTATAGTGTTCAACTTAATAAATTTATCACCTCTTACTCAACTATTTTATTTTCTTATTCTTTTTTTAAAAATACATTTTATTGATTTTTTACAGAGAGGAAGGGAGAGAGATAGAGGGTTAGAAACATCGATCAGCTGCCTCCTGCACATCTCCTACTGGGGATGTGCCCACAACCCAGGTACATGCCCTTGACCGGAATCGAACCTGGGACCTTTCAGTCCGCAGGCCAACGCTCTATCCACTGAGCCAAACCGGTTTCGGCTATTTTCTTATTCTTGGCAAATGCATTTCTCACTTTATATTTGAGGAAAATGGAAGCAACAAAATAAAGCTTTTTCTGTGTTTAATATTAATTCTTTGGTATAGATTTCCCAAAGTGGGTTTACTGGGTCAAATAGTATAAATATTTTAAGGCTTTTAATAATGTTTTCCATGTTGCTTTCAAAAAGTATGATAGCTATTTATACTTCCACTAGTGATGTATGAGAAGTCTTGTTTCCTTGTATCTTTGCTAGCAATGCC